TCTCTCTGCTTGGTGAAGTCGCCTTTACTTCATGTGGCACAGGCTCTTGAATATGCTGTTTACCTCAAATTGTACAGATGGCATTGACAGTGTGCGTGTGTGTGTACGTCAAGTGCTGCTCTCGAATGTGCCCTGAGCCAAACAAATCGAATCATTTGAATGATTTTTTTGAACCTTTTCCAATGATCATTTGGTTTCTTGTTTTTACTTTAAATGTTAAATTTTCATGGTTGGATTTGGTAGAAACGGATAAATTGAAGGAACAAGCGTTTTTTCGAATTGCTTTTTAAGTCTTTCTGACTTCGTAGCACCTTTTCCGAAGCTCAACGCCTACATTTTTCCCTGACCATGATATCTCTTACCCTGGGTAGCATTTTTTTCCCCAATGGAGAGTGTTGGAGCATAATTCCAGTCTAGGAATTCGCTTTATCGTTTCAGAGACGCTGCATTCACCTCGAGTCTAGTGTAGTGCAAATTTCTACAATTGTAAGCACGACTGTTTTATGTGAGGACGCGGTCACAGTCGACGGATGAGACGCAGGTGCGTAGTTTTCTACGTCTGACAGTTCATTTGCTCCATTTTGGCAGACTTTTTATCAAGGTGGTAAGTTAGATGATTAAAATGATGACAAAGGTTTTTTGAACTTCAAGCGAGAGGGCGGACAGTAAAACTCTTGAATAGTGCAAGTAACTACTCTGTTTAACAATGGGTCAAGGAATTTTAACCTTTAAACAAAATTTACACTTATTTGTAATGGAAATCATTGATGGCAGATGAAGGAAGGAAGGAAGAGACCACTTCATTGCTCTTGCTATCATCGAATAAATTTGGCGAAGAAGGTTGCAGTGAAAGTGAACTGCTTTTAACGCAGTGGATAGGAGCTGCAGACGCCGCCTGCCGTCGAGGAAAATCCATGGTGATGATAGAATTGGCTGCAATTGGGTTGAGGATTGACCACGGGCGGAGGGAATGGATAGGGTGTAGTATAGACACTCTGTCTTCAGACAAGTCTTGGGAGAAACCGGTGTCGTAGTGAGTGCCACTTCCTTGAAAGCCCACTAAAAGCATCGGAGAAATAAATCGAGTACCAATCCTAACGCAACTTTTGTATACAACAATTTCCTTATATCTCCTTGCAAGTCTACAGTTAAAAAATTCCACCGTCGGACCAGGAGGTCAGAAGGATATGGTAGGAGTGGACAATACCAGTCTAAGAGCTGCAATCGGCATGAAAGAGGCTTGACAAAGCGAGTAAGAGGCGTTAATGTCTCACAATCACCCTCACACACTTGATGATTCCAAGCCCCCTTTATCTGTAGCAGCATCGAAAGGTTTCATTTCGAAGTCACTGGGCCTTGCTACTTTATGTCCAGAGGGCTATTTTAAGTGGAATAGGTTATGGCATCTTGGCCTCTGCCGCATACAAGAAGAGACAACAAACATGCTCCATTTATAGCTGACTACTGCAATGTAGATAAAGAAGAATGTATAAAAGCAGAAGACACGAGTAGGACCGCAGTGGGTTTTCCTGTTAGTAGACTAGGCTGTTATAGTGCCAAGTTCTAAAAATAACTCAATGCTGAGCTGTGCAAGAGCTCTCGATAGAAATGCATGAATACAAGACATTCAGGTCTTGAACAGTGCCTTTATGGCTACGGAAAATTCATGACCAAACAAAGTTCACATCGGCCGAAGGTCGCAAAATAAAAGTATCAACCAATTGCTGGTCAACAAATACGCAAGTAGTAAACCAAAGTTGCCTCAAAAACGTAGTGTAACCAAAGGAAAAGATTAAAAAACGCACTTAATTTTAAGGGAACCTCGCGACCCTTTAGTATATGCCCACATTGATAGAGAGGATGTCTCGATAAACTCAAACAAAATGACCTCAACTGAGATGAACACCTTCAGCTGCGACACCTTGTTAGTCCGACTACCTATATGAATTGGCGACAACTCTAGTTTTTAGCCTACTCTTAATTGCATGGGTCGCCCCATGGCCCAAGCCAAAGCTCAAGTTCTTCCCATCCCTTATGAATACACACTTCCAACTACACTTACTACTTTATTCTACCTAATGAGTGGTCTTGAGACATTATACCAGCGGCTAAGAAAGGTGATACTCACTTTGTTTTCAAATCTATCCTGACCTCCTTAATTTTTCAAATGAAGTATATGCACTTTGGGCATGAGAATCTCCAATTTCTCCATGATAGAAGGATTGGAAAGAGGGGTCTGCATTTGGTTTCTACCACCTTCTCATTAGTCTGAATTATCAGCATTGAACAGCCTGGAGAAGTTTTCTTTAGGAGTTCATAACACATCCGCGTGTTGACGACAGCGGTGCTATTACACCGCAATACGATCAGAGGATGAAGAAACATACACTCATTCTATTTCATTTGGTCAACGGCTCAGCAAGCATATGAGTGTTTTAAGAAACAACTGCTAGCCTGAGCTGCCTAAAACGATATTTTCGAATACACTAAAATACTTTATTTATGTGACCGCCTGATGTCTGGTGGTGTAGTGCCCTGAGGATTCCCACCGCGTAAAAGGGGATTAAGTTGGGCTAGATGCGTGTATTCTAAGAGGAGAAAAGGGATTAAGCTTGAGTTTAGCACCATACGTACAACCACCAGACTAATAGCAAAGTAACCATCAGACAGCAGTTGGTCACATAAACAAATTATTACTGGTGGTGACTTTAGTTTTGTCCTGCCCTTGTACTCGCAGGCTGGCCTTCAGACCAAACTGAATGCCTTCCTCTGTCAAATGGGAAGTCTCATTGGGCTACATAAACTACACACTTTTAAAATCATGCCTTAAAAAGGGCAGGAAACTTAACTTTATGACTAAACACAATAGTCTATATGATCCCTAATGATATGTTTTTTAGCAATTTTTCCATTTAATTGAATATACTAAAGTCTCGCAAGTGACCAATCATTTATTATGTTCGTTTTATAATGACAGCTTAACAAAAGGATCAAAATCTTAATGGATTTTGTTTTATGTCATCTAAGCTGTTTGGACCATTTAAACATCCTTACTACTGGCATACGCGATATCGCATACTAGAGGTGAATGACGGTTATGGTTGTCAGCCTACAATGAACGAAAAAATACTTACTATAGCTAGCATTAGCCAAGATGGTCAAAAAGTGAATCTTCTGGGGATTGTACTTCATAAGTCCAGTGTAAGGCGTGTTGAAAGTAAGGATGGCCAGCAACCCTCTCGTGGAGTTTTTTCATTCGTTATACGGGATAATGTGTCATCATGGATAAATATAAACTACTGGGGTACATTTAAATCCTCTGGTGAAGTATCGGCAAGTTTTTCTATCGGTAACTTATATGTTGAAGCTGAAATATTTGACTAGGAGATGTTGTCCTTGTTCTGCAAGGACAGGCAAAAGTTATAAACGAAGGATCATATGAAGATGTTTGCATGGTTCAAACACCTTCAAGATTTTCCGTCATACTCAATGAAGGGCGTTCTCGAATTTTACCCTACAGTTGTAGTAACAAGGCGCAAATTACCAAACTTCAGGTAAACACAGTGGTTGCAAGCATTCCAGGTTTCGTAATTTATGTTCTTAATATCCTAAGCCACTATGAAGCGTTAAATGCCCAATTCGTTTTTTTTGCTAATTGACCGAAATATTTTAGAATGGAGTTATTATTTTTCGAAAATTTACTTGTAGCTAGAACTTAAGTTCATGAATTGCATATGATGCATGAAGACAGAATGCTTCGATGATTCAACTATTGTTATTTGCGTAACTCCGTACTTCTTATTTATTTTTACTTCCAAAGGGCTTCTTAGGATATCGTAAAGTGTTCCGATTTTTCGTTCAGTTGTTTTAGATAAAGTTGATTAAAATGTAAATCTAAAACTCGAAAATAAATTTGCACTGTAATTTATTAAGTAGGAGGCATATTTTCTCATGTTACAGACCGAATTACTCTGTCCTGCGGAAAATCATCTGGCTCTGAAACAAGTAATTCAGTACACCTTTGCTGATAGCGCTCTCGTGAGAAATGCACAATCACAGCAAATGAATAACTCCATCACCCAAACCCAATCAACCAATCGACCCGTCCGGTTATTTACATTCTTTGCGGCAGTTATGGACGTAGGCGAAATAAAATCGGTGGTGCTAAACAGACCGCCTCAAAAGCTTATAACTTCCACACTCCCCAGCATGCCTCAGACAATCAGTGCTGATGATCGAAAGAGCTACCAGCGGGTGATAAGCAAATGCGAAGTTACACTTATTGATGAGACATGTGGGCACTTCCCCATGATTTTGTGGAACGAGGACCTCATAATGTTTGCTTTAAGGTTCTGGAAGCCAAGAGTAAGTAACAGATTTTCTACGTCAAAATGGATTTCATTATTTATTGCATTATGAGAGGGAGAAACTTCCGTGTTCTTTAGGTTCTGGCACCGTAAAACAAGTATATCTTCAAATTGTTCTTCCCTACAGACAGGCATTAAACCGTCTACTCTTGTGAGCGCAGTTGGCTAGAGTGGGATTAGGATGAAGTCATGGGAGTAATGCAATTGTAGGACACTTAAATGCATTCTCTATGGTCAAAACAAAGTATTGTACATGGTGTTTCACCCGCAATCCTATTATATTTTTAAACACTCGTAACTGAGGGTAGAAAGGAACTTATGAGATAAGGTAATGGATGGGCGATGACCTATCCGACTAAATGAATATGATGAATCATTTGCCACATTTGATTTGGTAGAATGTAATTGTTGGAAAACAACCTTTTTGCACCATTTTAGGGTCATCTAGGTCACCTTGTATGAGTGTTGTTGATAAATGCTGCTTTTGAATTGTGAAAACTTAGGTAAAGAGTTAATGGACTGGGTATGATTTGTTTAAGGCACGCCTAATCAATCCTCTTTGCTAGATGATACTATCTATATGATGTAGTTTACTTGAAGCAGATCAGTTAAATCGTTAGAAGGAAAATAAAAGTAGATAAAAGAGGCAATTGAGTATGGGATCGTTTGACTTTCCGAAAGAAATTTTGTGCGGCGAGAATTATTAATAACTATTTTAGCATCACTCCTAGTTCTGGAACGTGAGTCTATGTTCCAAATCTCCTCTGCATACGGATTTTACATCCTAGGCGTGCTCTTATGGATGTCTAGTCTATCCATTGTGAGAATTTGGCTATTTGGTTTATCGTATCTTTGCGTCTTTCCATTACTTTCCAAGTTAAAAAAAAACAGTTAATTGCGACGATGATACGATATAGAGATCATCTACCACAATCTTTCGCTTCAGTAATGAAACCGACACAGCCCATTTTTGGGATGAGGACAGTGCAATAAGCTTTGGCGACTTTGAAAACGATGCAAAAACCTTCCTGCATGCAAGGACAACAAACTTGTAATAACCGATCTTGGATAATTACTGCCGACAAGTTGCCAAGATTCCTGTGTAAAAGGGCTATTTTAGGGTCAATTTTATTCCAAAATAGATTTAATTCATTCTCAAGATGAAGAATCCACTTTTAATGGGTCCAAAGCTACAATAAAACTATTTTGGATTTTTACAACTTTGTACCAATTTAAAAATTTCATGCTTTACATAAGATGTGGTTTTATTCTTTGAACACTGGGTGGTATTGTGAAATTACAAGAGGCTTAATTAGGCAAAGTTGCTGCGTCGGGGAGAAGAGCCAGCATTTTAAGTGCTGATGCACAATTTGCGTGAATTCGTTAATTTATTTATCTTGCTTTACAAAAATCATCAATCAGCAAAGTTAAGTGGTTCGACTTGTTGCGGAATTTGGAGCAAGTTGACGGCTTTAGCAAGTGAGGATTTTGGCCACGCAATGCAAGTAATTTTGATGCTAGAAATGCTGTTTTCCGAAAACTTCAACAATGGCCTCTTTTTCTTGAAAATGAGACCAGACTCAAAATTGTGTGCAATTGTGGCCGCGACCAAAGCCATTTGGTCTGGACAAATTATGATTATCATCGGTTCGTATATACGCTTTTACCACGCTTGCTATTCAAATTCTGATCACCACTTTTAATATAGGTGGCAGGAATGGCTAGCTTTTGGAATTTTCACGTCATGCTTTGTGTGCCCACCATAAAAGGGATAATCTTGTAATGCTAACAATCCAGTCACAATTTATGAGTTCATTGCCAGCTTTTATCTACCTACTAAAAAGCGACTGATGGCGTATCATTGTTGCATTAATCCACTTTTAATGCATTAAAAGGGAAGACAAAACACTGGGTCACTGTTAAGGGGGAATGACTGAAGATCTTCATATTAAAAGTGCTACTTACTTAAATAAAATAAATTTATTGAATAGGATCTCGCACGCCGGATGTTGACTCATTTCTTTTTGGTTGCTCGTCTAATTTTCCATTCCAGTGGGAATGAAGCGACTTAAAATCAAGTAGTAGGAAGGAACCTACGACCACATTATTGCTTTTCCATTCTGCTTAGATTGGGTCCATCACTATCGCTTCTGCCCCTCACTAATAAACTAATTCAATAGAATTTATCTGAGAAAGGTTTAAGGGTAGATGTACCTTGACAGCAATGGCACTACTTCGATTTGTTTTTATAAAAACTCGTATAGATGTTCCCTAATGATGCGGCCTACTTTATCTGTTAACATTCATAGCCATTTTAAATAGCATAGTTGGTATTTGCAGGTCTAGATGGCGAAGTGAATGTCAAATCATAAAAAAAGGCTTAAAGGACGGTTCGTGATAAACTAAAAGTCTAGATCGAGGCATGCTGTTATTGTCGACATTGTGTAAGGTATGGCTAAGTTTAAGCTTACACAATAATTTCATTAACATATGCAATTCTTCTGAGTTACAGGTGACGGTGCTCTCTATAGTCGACTGCCCAGTACGATACGACACCTTTCGCCGTGGAGTGGTGGCGGTGCCCAATGACAGGACAGGGATCATCACTATGCCCTCGTGCGGGGAAGCTCTAAGGCTAGCGCAGTACGCCAAGTATTCAGGCTGGTCCCCCATCACCGGCGCTTCCCACACTGATGCCTTCGGCCAGCACTTCATTCATCCCTTGCCTCTCCCTTTTGGTCGAGTTCCTCCTGAGGTGTCTGGTACAAAAGTATTAATATTTAGGCCATCACGACTTTTATTCCAATTATTGCTCCCATATAGTTGACTAGCTAGCCAGTGAAAGGGGTAGCTGACATAACGCGTAAACTTCCGGTTGAGTAGCAGGCAAATTTATCATTTTCAAGACAAGATGAAATTCCATTAATCTTTTCCTATACACCAAACCTAATGTTTTACTTAAATAGACACCAAAGAACGAATATCCTTTCCTAAAACCACATTGGATTGGTTCGCTTTATACATGTCTGGTAAATAGCTGATAGCTAAGTGGAATAGAACTCCACGACAGCACGAGCAAAATTGGTCTTTTGACAGATTGTTCATAGCAGCACCAACTAATTAATTTCAGCCTTTCCTCATTTTTCTGAAATAGGCTTTCTCTGTTACAAGGGAAGCACTCAAGGAACTATGAATGGACAGAGTCTGCTTTAAGCATTTTTAATTGCATTTTAAGCATGGTTTAATTGCTGATTACTTATGGATCAGAAGCATGCCACGCCAAATTTGTGTTTTTTCGGTTAGAGGGAGAGAAGGAGGGAATACTTTGCGTTTACTGTTCCAGGAATCTGATTATGCCTTGGAGGCCTTCTTCCACCCTTTATCTCCCACTGCATGACAGCCAAGCGGCACTTTTATTTTTGGCTGATGGTAATGCACTGAGCTGTCATTATTATCCCCCTTTGTGATGGCACTTAGTAACTTGATGAGATCTACTTTGCAAAAGATATATCGTCCAAATGACTGCCAGAGTACACATAAAAGGCTATTTCTAGCCCCTATGCATGATAGCTAAGAGTCGGGTAACTGTACTGGTCAATTATCGTTCATACTTACCCTGACTTTTACTCTTACAGACAGTTTGAAAGAAACCATGGGTGGTTTCAGCTTTTAAAAGCAATAAAACTGATTTTCTGTCACTTCAATGCAAATGAGCACAAAGTGTTGAATGCGAGTCAATGAATTGCTTCTGCTGGAATGCATGTTAAAGCATTGATAAATTTCCCTAGTCAAGGAATGCATGCGTTAATTCATTCAAGTTCTTCCGTAGAATTGAGAGAACAGGTGTGAATCAATAGGCAGTTGATTTGGTAAAGCTTAGGGCAAATTTCTGAGAAGAAGAGCGACTCGGTTAAACAATGGAACTGTATTTTAGATTGAACACATTTCGCTGGCTGGAATACACACAGTCAGAACAATTCAGGATATTATAAACGGCAAAGGTAGGTGAGAATCACTTCTCATTTGAACCATTCACATCGCACACTTCTTCGCGTGGTTAGGACAGGCTTCACGGATGCTTGCATATTCAATTCCTGTCCAAGTACTGTCATTAAACGTAACCTTACAATCTTCAAACATCTCGTGACCCTACACTAGCAAGCACCCCAATTTGCCTTCAGTACGGAATGCCCAAAGTGCAGGAGAATGAAGAAACGATTAAGAAAACAATTGTTCGAGGGGATAGGCTCAGCTTTTGTGCCCCTCCGCCGAACACTTCTCATGATTCCAAGGAAAACAATTGGTGGCTCATCATTCCTACCCATGACAGTACTTGTAGTATCAGTCTCATTTGCACATAAATCGCAACTGATCATTGTCTGATCTATCCATTTTCTGTTCACCTCATCCAAAAACTTAAGAGTGTATACTTTTTAAATGGTAAGTACACAACTCTGTGCATTCAAATCTGATTTTTATGACAAGTGAATGGAGTTAAACAAAGCATAGATGTTATCACATGCTAGTTGAGCTTAGCGCTCATTTATTGTGCAAAGTGACATCGATACCCCTTCTGCTTATAAAAGGGAGAAGAGTCCAGGCACATGGAACAATAGACAATTCTCATATGCAGAAAAAGTGGGATCAGCATCGTTTGAAAGGCAGGAAATCAGTGTGTCGAATTTGTTTCCGTTTTCGTGACCACTTGCCCTCCACGACTGACGCAACTGCGCAGAATACGTCCGTCTCTTTAGACCATGCAAGATGCAAATGATCGGTGATGAATGTTAGTTTTGGGATTTTGGCAGGGTCATCTGACTCACGAGAACTTGACGCATGAGAAATGTGGAAACTTAAAAGTGCATACACATAGGCTGCATCACAACGATAAGTTTTACAATGAACATGCAATGAAAGTTTCTTGAATCTGAACCTATTGGATATTATTTTGTACTTAATTTTGTACAACTACCAGGAATATAACAAACCACTGGCTTATTGAATGTGGTACTCTTAATGGAACAAAATATTTTTTGCTCCTATTTCTCTATCTCATAGTAAGTTCCGGATTTGGCATTGTTTTCGCCATGTTTACGAAGCTTTCACTGGACATCGATGATGCTATTCGCCTCGTTCGTCTCTCCTGCTCCAACTGCCAGCGTCGAATGCAGATCTGTGGGGAAGAGGAGAAGGGCAGTAGCGAGGCTGCATCTCGCGTCGGCTCACAATCGGCTTTGTTTACCTGCCTTACGCCTGACTGTCCTCTCTCGGGCCAGCGATTTGAGCCTTCAGACTCCAATCATGTTCTTGTGAGTTTACTCCTCCCAATTTCACTCATACGAAAATGAGAGTTTTTGACTCTGGAGTCTAATTGTGGAGGTTGAAAATTTTGCTGACTTTTTTATCCCTTAAACCTAAAAAAATTTATTGATGTCTTAGGGCGCACTACCCTTTTTTACCCCACATGTTCTCGCTTCAACAATCCGTAGACAAGCTTTGGTTAAGCATTTGAAACCTGACGTTTCAGGTACTGACAAAATTTTCTTGGTTATGAGTTCTACAGATATTACTGCGTAGTTGACAACATTTGCTTTCCTTGATGCTGGTCTGCTGAGCTTACCATTTCTCGACAGCGTTGGAATCCCCCTCTATAAATAATTATTCCCGAAATTGCCCCTTCCACTATAAGAAAATTAATCAGTAAAGGCAATATGCCGAGAGCCACTACGTACACCAGGCACTAATATTGGGGAAGACCTTTGCTTTGTACTACTTCATACCCCTATGGGCAGCAGTTCTACCATGTAAACCATCCACAGTTTAAAAAAATTAAAAGCTAGCATGATTAGACTAAATTTTCTCAATAAAAATCCCATGGTTAAAAGCAGAGTTGGGGAGAGAGGCAACTAACTGGGTGTTACCCGGACCTGTTTTATTAAGTTTGAATTACTCGAAACTCACGATGCTAATGTCCACGCGAACAGGCCGAAGTGAACGCTAGCTGAAGCGATTATTTTGTGAAGTGTTGCAAGTTATGCACTAAATCAGTGTTTCCAAACTTTGACCCCACAATTTTAAACTCAGCTTTGATAGTCGAGGTATAGAAGATTATGATTTGTTTAATCTCTTTGGCTACCAATTCACGTGGATGAAGCGCAGATAGAGAGGATCGTAGAACCCCAATATTGAGTGGCATTAGTGCTACAAAAGAGTTGACTCAAGGTTACGGTGCGTCACTACATAGAGGAATTCCATCGGCAAAATAGTGCCGATTCTTTTAACGTGAAGGCAGAAGGAAAATAGATAACTTGTTTTCATAAAAAAGTGATTACTGCTATCTGAATTGGCAGTCAAATACTCACTTGCAATTAGGCGACCCTTGAATCTTTTTGTGGATGCTTCAGCTGACTAGAATGAACATGATTGATTGTAATACTTAGTCTCAAGTAAGTATCCGCAAAGGAGAAAGGGAAGAAGAGCTAAGCGAGGAAGGGAAGATTGGTGTAGGTCTTACCAGCTTGAGTCTGCGCCATTTGTCAGTTCATTCAAATATTCGTTAGTTGATAAATCAAATACGTCATGATTAAGAGAAGCGAGTCCGAGTTCGATTGTTCCAATTTTGAAAAAAATGGACATCAAGTCTAATGAAGTCATTATCCAGTGCCTGAAGGAGGTTTCTTGATACCACAAAGCGGAAGGAAAAATCACCATTTATTATTTTTCTCGCTTTTCTCCTTAATATTAAGTGAGTCAACCTCAAAAGCTATCGCTCTTACTTTAGTGTAGGCACTGAGGTAAATGCTTGTCCAAACACAACAATACTAGTTGCTTGGCTTCTAAGTAATAAACATTGTTACCATTCAAGTGGCTATCCATTTGCATATATTGGTGTTCACAACCTGCATAACCTGTATAGCGTCCCAAGGCTTCCCTCAGGTAGAAGAAGGCATCGTATGTAATCTAAGAGAAGAAGAGGAAGAAGAAGAAGCAGGCCTGGGGTCTTGGCGCGGCCCGAAGGCAAGGGCAAAACGAAAACCAAAGTAACCGCCAGATATCAGGTTGTCACACAAACAAAGTGTTATAACCCATTTCAAAGGTAGTTGACCTGAACCTCTCTCCTAGGGTCGTATCCCTTAGGTAAGGCCAGCAGCTGACAGATGCAACTGCAACTGCAGTGCATTAGTGAAATCTTCGGTCTCCGTATCCAGTTCCAGTTAACGTTCTTGTAAAGGGGCGCTTAAGACTATGAAAGAATGACCTTTACTTCCACTCAATCCATAAATTTGTGGTAAATTAAAAATTGACAAAGAATAATTATGCCAGAAGTGGGCGCCTTTTTTTCCCACCACATCCAAACGGCATTACGGTGCCATTGGTAATGCGAGCTGTTACTTCCCAATTAATTGTCCTATGTCCAAAGTAGGGGAGAAGGTGTGGGATTCCGTAGTGCGCTACTGGTAGGAATTGTCTGGTCATCTGGGAAGCGGTGGCAGGTGGACTGGGTGTGTGATAATGAAATTCGCAGGTGTGTGACTGCCCCAAGTACAGAGCTAACTTTGTGATGAAACCCATTCACAGTAGTTCCTCTTTGCTTCTTTACATGGTTGACCAACTCAACAATCACTTTCCTACCTGCTCAATCCATTGTTGGCCGAATTTGAATGTCAAAAGTGAAGTACGAGAGGAAGGGAGAGAAGGGGAAGGGCGGAGGAGTTGAAAGGCCTGAAAATCAAATAATTTTTTGTAACAAAAACCCTCGATCTTCTCATCTTGAAACTTACGTTCGTTTTGAGTTTCTTATGACCAGATCTACTTATTGGGAAACTTTCCATTTATGACAGGAATGGACAGGCAGGAATTTGTTTCAAAGAGCGTTTGTTTATCGGGTTTGGTATGGATCATGGCATTACGGTAAGTAAACAGCCCAAAATAAAGGCGAACACGCAGGTTTTCAAAAGAATCACCAATCAGTCAGACGCGTCAAGACCGCCATGTGATTTCCATTATGCATACATTTATCCATCTCTGTAATTGCTAAGAGATCTCTTTGACGTTCAATTAATTGATGTTAGTGGTTTGCACACCATTTTTGCCTCTTTATCCTAAAATGACTTCGTCGTGAGGGTTCCCTTTATGAAGCGCATCACCCATTCGTTTATGCGCAGAACATTCTGAAGCGACATCAATATGGGCTAATGAGGATTAAGGGCGTACCCAGTAGCCAAAAGGTCCGAGAATGCGTGGTCGAATGGGGTGATATGTCAACCAGCTATTTTACCTTCTGGATTGATTAATAATTTCAATAAGCACTTTTGTGTGAGTTAGCATGCGTTTCTTTCCTGAATGCTACGAAGTAAATTTCTTTCATCACTCAAACAAACGCCAGATACCTTGGCCACTTATCCATCTTACCTTTTAAATTTAGGTGGAATACAACGTTTTTCTAAATCTCACCGATCATACTGGAACCTACACCAAATGTACGCTAACTAATTCTGCTGTGGAGAAAATGCTTGAAATGCAAGCGAAGGATTTTCTCCAACTCTCTCCAAATGATCGAGGTCGGATGAAGTGGAAGCTGTTGCTCAATAGGTTCAAGGTAAGGCTACAAAAGACCACGTGAGCTAAAAGTGATTTTGATTTACTTACTAGTTCAACCGAAAATATTTTTCCGATTGTCCAATATTTTGAGTGGTTTGAAGTAGACGACGAATTTATTGTCCGTTAAAGTACCACCTACTCCCTTTTCCATGTTATGCAGCCGTTTCGGTGGTTTAAAGTCGTCTACAAGCGCTTATCGATTGACGCCTGTCCACCCTCTCGACGCCACGGAGACTCTTTGTGAATTCGGTTGTAGGCTTGCCTACCTTCCCTTTAACTAAGGTTTTAGCTGCCTGCCTCTTCAGTGCGTTTTGTGTGCTCCAAATTGGCACTTTTTTTTCTTTTTGCGAAACAGAGCTCCGTTTACAAGCATATATTAATGGAGGTAGAATCCTTATACATGTATACGCCTGTCCAATAAACTTTCGATTGTGTCAGTTTGGGAGATAACAACTATAGCCACAAAACCGGATGTTTAGGGAGAGCAGATAAGTTCTGACAAGCAACTGATCCTTTCCCGTTCAAATATGCTATTACCTGAGCATTGTCACATTATCTTTTGCAAATATTTCCTTAAACCAGTTTTTTGAAACGTAAGTGGATCTAATGCTAGATGTAACTGCCTATTTAAATTCACATTTTTAATAAATTGGACAATTTGTGGCTTGCTGTGCTCAAGGTATACTTTTGGATGCGACAACCGGGCTACGATCAGCCAACTCCCTATCTGAATGTGCTGGCATGTGAGCGACCGAATCCCTTCGAGGTGTACTCCTCTCTACGCACAACCAACTGTCCATGACAGTCTAGCTCTCACCCTCTCTCACAAACTACTTTTTTCTGGTAAACCTTTTTTTGCAAAAATCTGTTGTTTCTACGTTTGGCTGAATTAGGTAAACGAAATTTTGTCTGCTAATTCAGCGTAATTTTGCTGTGTGGCCAACTTTTATACATTGAATACACGTTTCTTACTGACGCCTTTTATGTGTATGTGGTTGACGAATTTTGGACGAAAAATTAAAGGTCATTCAGAGAATTTTCTTACGAATTATTTAGAAATGTAACGGTTGAAGCTCCGAATTATTCAGTAGCCTTATTCACTTTGCGTAGCAAAATGCCAAGGTGTAGAAATGAAGCTTAGCAGAGTTGGAAAGGGTGTTTTTACTCCAATTATTTTTCAGATTCTGCAACTAATCCGCATAAATATGAATGTAGGTGTGTGAAGGCATTGTTATGTGTGAGATTTGTTGGAATTAACGTGCCACCAATGGGGAGTGAGTGAACGGGTCCAATTTGAGGAACCAGCGGCGTATTTAATACCACTCTACATTCGATTTTAAAACTCAACTTCACATGAAAATCCGAAGGCGAGGGGTAAGAATTCTGACAAAATTATGAGTTACAATATTTTTTACTTTTTACTCGACTCAGTGGATGCCTTCACGGTGATTTTGCCGTCAAAACACGTCTTTATGACATCCTCCACTTTAACACCTCTCTTGACCTGTCAGGGACAATCAAGTTTTTAGAAGGAGGTAAAACCATGAAGTCGGTATTACAGAGACTGCAGTTCAAGGCAGACGCCCATTTTATGGTAAGTTTGTAACCAAAGTGCAAAAACCTCAAATTTTATTATTGCGTCAAGGCAAGTAAAATTACAGACCCTTTAAAATGTATACCTAATCATTCATCAAACCGTAAAATAAATTTGTAAGGAAGAAATGCATGGTAAAAATTAATGATGTCACACCACTGTCTAAATTTATGGCAAAAGTAGTCATTTAGGTGCAGTGACGTGAGCACTGAATGGCATTACCGGTGTTCGGCTTCATACTAATTCATTGCGTTCAAAGACACACTTTTATGCTCCTCTGCAATATACCGGAAGTACAAGAGAGACTCACGAAATCCGCATAAAAAAAGCACAAAACGTAAAGCGACCTATTTTATATAAAAATAGAGATTACCTGGTGAAACGCGAAGAGAGAGGATAGGTATTTACAGCAGAAAACATGCATGAGTACTGATGGAGGTGGAAATAGCATCAAATGCAGGACATAGTACGTGAACCTAATACAGTCACCCTTGAATTAACTTAGTGGAATGTCTTTTGTCTCCTTTTCCTTTTCTCACGAGTGGGCTTCATTTGGGTACTTCTGAAATGCTGGAGACAGAATCTTTAGACAGAGAGTAGCCTCTGCTATTGCCTTTAGTGTCTTGCACACGAGACATTACAGTAGACATCCGTTTGCGTCGTTCTTGTGAACTCTCTTTCACATGTTTTGTGTAGATTCGGCGAATCAGACTACATCGCTGAAATCGTTCACTGCCACAAAGTATGCGCAGAGCCTCAGAGCGTGCATTGGGCAAGAAAACGAAGTAAATGATGATATCTGTGGAGTATTGTATGGCAGTGAAGGAGCTGAAGAACTTGGTAAGCTGAACAACCTCTTTGTGAAAGTCTTTTGCGGTTTCAGCGTAGTTTTTGGCGTCAGCGTACTGACGCAAGGCCATACAAATTACCAGTGGAATTGACAGACAAAGAAAGAAGGAGCAGACACCCAAGTGACCGAGGATACGACGTCTTTCGAGTTTTTGTTTATACGAAGTGGTTGATTTGATCCCACCGCTGCGAATGAGGTACTTGAGTTTGTAACAGATGAGAATATTGAGGACGAGGATGGTGATGGTGGGAGCGGTGTAGGAGCAGATGACAGACATGAGAATGACATATCGCGGTCCAGGTGAGGTGGGCTCCACAAGAGCACAACGCAGCTTACCGTCGGGGCTGCGTTCCAAGGTGTAGTAGATAGCTGCAGGGATAAAGGAGACGAAAGTGAAGACAAAGGCAAGAAGCAGCCCCAGACGGGCATAATTTAGGTGAAGGTCACCACGAGAATGAATCGGACGATAGATGGTAACTGTTCTATCGATTGTAAAGGAGACTAAAGTGACTGCTGCAAGCAATTCTGTTGCTGTTGGCAAGTAGGAGACAAATTTGCATGCAAAGAGTGATTGAGTGTCGAGTTTAAAGTCAATAGTACACCCAGAAGCAAACCAGAGTCCACGGCCAATGAAATGATCCAATAACGACTCACCAATGCATTGAAATACATGCGCTATAGCCAGATACATAACATAAATGTTAAATCTACAAGCTTGACGTTTTTGTAGTCGAACAAACACGATAAAGACGAAGAGATTTGAGGGAATTCCAATGCTCAAAAGAATTGGAGTTATGTAGGCGCGAAAAAAGTACACCGCTGTCTCCGTGGTCGACATGTTGTTGGGACATGTTCGATGGATGGAATTCACAGAACTAATTTCCATGCTGACACAAGACTGTGAATGATCGCTCCGCTTCGGATGGAATGACGGCGTGTCGATGTGTCTTACACATGCTGTCTATTGAACGCCAATTGGTTGTATGTGAACTTGCCCAATTGCCATTCAAGGTCGATGGCGCATGTGGTGGCTGCATGATGAGCCAATGGAGGTGTGGTCTCATTTGCATGGAAGTGACAAGTGAGATACGGGATTAAGTCACCTTAAAGTACTCATTTGGCAAAATTTGGGATAGCCTTTAGGACAAAGTGACTCTTTGTCACCTTCCTCCTTCCTTGGACCATATGCTTATGCAAGTGGGAGAGTAAAAGAGGGATACAAAACACTACCGATCCAAGTGGTCACCTCTTCGAGTTTCTGATCATACTTTGACTTTAACAAGAATGGACTCAAATTTACGACGTTTTCCAATGATGCTTTTGGACAAGGAAATGGTTTGGGATGTAGTGACGATTGGAGGTCCAACAATTGGGTGATGATAGCATAACTAGAAATGTCTTAATGGCGATTACCGCCCCAAGTCGTTCCTTTTACATTGGCCAAAAGGACTGGATGCAAATAAGGGCGCCTGTTTAATGTTCTTGCAAACCATCTGGAAACAAGTTTAACCTTTTGGGGATAAGGTACAAAAACGGTAGCAGAAAGTTGCACCGAATGGCAAGGAAGTTGGCAGAAATTCCCACTAATTGCCACTAAGAGTTGCAGAAAGTGTGGATAAATATTATGCATTGCCTCTCGTCAGGATTGAGTGCCGGGTTTGCATGCAATTTTGGAGCTACGATGAAATATCTGTCAATACGCCTTCAAGGATTTGAATTTGTCCTTCCTACTTGATGAGCAACTGTCAAGACTGTGAGAAATATGACACTGACAGACTTGTATGATAGTCTCTCATAGCTCATAATAATTTTATACCAATAAATGAAATGAGATTGGTAATTTTTGAAGTCCATTTCTAATTTTGTCCGAGGTCTGTCTCACCGCGGTTCACATTTGGTGAACCACTCATGAATAGGAACCTCGAGGATTGGCAAAGTGAACGACTTTCTCCTCTAATGCCTCGTCTTCTATTGCTAATTTTGAAGATCCAAATTACAGCCGTGTTTATATCCAGGCAGACCCTGCATCGACCTCCAGATTTTATCAGTTGCTAAACAGCGACTCGGTCATCTCGCTCGATTATGGCGTTTTGTTTTCTCGCCCTGTCTCTGTGCTAGAACTGTCGTTAAAGTTATCATCGAGTGAGAGGCCAAATTTTCAATGACCTCGGTTTATTTATTTACCCCACACACACTAGAATTATACAAACATGAAGCTAAAGCACTTTTTTCTCAAAACTTAAACATCTTTAAATTGACATCCTTCAGGTGGATTTTGCCGTTTTCGAGTGACATTCGTTGGTGGTCAAACGCCTAACCTGTGCACACAATCCAAATGTTTCAAACTGTGTCACAAGCAGTCTTGACGGAAGTGTTGTTTAGACTTTGACGCCTACTTACGCCCACTTGCCATGTTTTTAGCATTCAGCCGCAATAAAAGGTCGCCCTTATTTGGCTAAATGGCCTTAATTATAATTATGGATAACAGGCAAATGCTATGACTATGCTTATTTGCCTTAACTTCGGTCAAACTGTCGCCCCTTCGAATGGGTAGTCTCGGGGCCTGCGACTTGGCGCTGTAACACGGTTTGCCTCCTGCTACCAGCCTCGGTGTAATTGCATGTACAATTGGCTTGGAAGTAGTCACACCGACAACAGCATCACTGAAAGAAGCAGGTAAGCAACTGCTTTAGACATACTTTATGAAATAGTTCTGTTGGATTTCAAGATTTTAACATGTAAGAGTTTTTAAGCCGATGTAAATGCTAATAAAAGAAAACTAGGTGACATTTATTGAATCACGGCAAGACAAAGCGCAAATAGAAGGCATTTCTGAGTGTTGTCGCTGCAGTATTTAAGTTGTTAGCTTAGCAAAGTGGTCCAATTGCGCCATCCTCCTCCCTCTTCTTGCGCCACTTCTGACATTTTTACCATCACTAGGAGAGGCGGATGTGACTGTGTCTATGCGTTTGTGCATTCAAACTACTTGAGTGTTGCATTGCTCTGCCTTTGCCCTTTTTCTTGATGATGTATTGTTCGCTTATTCATTCAATTTTTCGTTCCACCTCCCACTTAGTGAATGTGCAAACTCGGTTAAACCCCTTTCAAATTCATTCACGTGCTTGTGTGTGAGTTTGTTTTATGTGCTTGGCGCTTCCATCTCTTGCCTGCCTTTTCGGGCACTGTTAAGGCAATTTTAATGTTGGTACATTCGTCAGTAAAAACGGTGGCCCAGTTTCGGAAGGAAAAAGGCAAGAAGGTAAGCGTGAATTTCGTGGTGGAAGCGTAGAGGGGTTTGAAAAATGGCGATGCGTGTGTAGTGTAGGCGTTTTGAAGAATCGGGATTTTGCAAGTGCTTTTAAGAAGCGATAGCAACTGAATGCTCTGCATTAAGGTAGGGGGTAGACGTGAAGACGTTGTTGAATTATTCATGTTGCTCCTCAATGTCAAGCAAAGCGTTCACAATTTGCTAATGAACGGACTTATACATGACACTTGAAAGGTGATTACTTTCCCACCCTCCAATGAATGGAAGAGATAAGGCATTTGCGAATTTTTGGCCATTACTGTCCAACAGTTGGCTTGCCAAGCCAAAAATGGACACTTCCCATTTTATTAATGAAGTGTCTTATCGACCACTTTGACCCTGGGCAGTGTAAACATCCCCAAGCTGCACCGCTAATGAACCTCTCCTTTCTGTTTACATTAATTTTCTGGGAAGATACGACGGATGTACCGGCTTAGTGAACTATTTAAATACCACAAATAATGTATGATAATTTAAACTCGGAGGCTTGGCCAATTTTTTGAAAGTTAGTGAGATGTTCGTTTCTCCTCTCCCTCCCCTCCACCCCCCTCCTCCCCCACTTCTAAAGAGGAATAAAAGGGCTTTTTCTTAGCTTACTACCTTACAGAATTGCCAATGGCGAGTAGCATGGTTGTTGAAAGAGGCAGGCTACATGTTTTCTCGTTCCAACTATAGCGTAGAAATTTATTTATTGTGTCACTTTATCTGGAGGATGATGCTGATCAGATTGGAACAAGTGATTAAGGTGGGTAGCGAACATCAAAGAGCTTAGTTTCGTAGATCTTGATTTGTAAAGCTGTTGTTTTTTTCCACCATTTTACACTTTCTTCACTGATTATATGATGAAGGCAGGCCGTACTTATCACCATAACATCAGTTAATGCAAATGACCGAATTTTTTTAAAGGACATGTAAGAGTTAAGTTAAACGACAAAGCTGGGACCAACATCACCCTCAATCAGGTGGAATGCGCAGTCCCCACAGTTGGCCTGCAGGCGTAACACGAGGGTCAAATTGCCCCCCAAAAGTACAAAGGCTAGGCTTTTAGTGTCCTCGAGACCAAAATGGAGTATTAATTAAACCATCAAAGCATTGCGTGGCTTTCTACGCTCCTGTTGCTCAGCCAACTGCAAGCGTTGTTACAGCATAGTTGATCCTATGAAAAAAAAAATTCCTCTAAACACCCATGCTAGCTGTTGAAATTAGGTGCAAGTGAGAGATCGTAATCACTGGACCCTCTGAACAATTCCGTTGGATTGGTCGTTCCCATCCATTTAGGAAGCGTTTTGGGACACCACATATGTCTTCCGTTGCCTCCTTGTTATTAGTGGTGCAAGTTCAGCGCTGCTTCCTTCCTGTTGGTGGAGAGGTGTTGGGAGCATCGTGTATTTACTTCGTTGACATCTTCACTCGGGTACGGTGGGTAGCCCTTTTGGCAATTTATCAATTCTATGCCTGTAAAATGTAGGATTGGGACATACTGACGTCTCGGAGTCCAGACTGTCCGATGGGGATGCAGTGGTTTATTACCAGCATAGAGCAGCAATTAGTTTAAACCTTCTGGCAATTAGTTCAGCTACTACAACTTCTTCGAATATATCCTAGCGATTCCGATAAGAAACACTTGAACCCCCACAACCGCTCTCAACTGTGTTTGAAAAGTTAAACATGAACTGTCCGAATGGTGAACTAATTCATATTCATATTCATATTCATATTTATTCATGTGTTGTATCTCACAATGCACGCATTTAAACGATCTCGTATACCTTCACAGCTCTTAAAAATTAACACAGATGTTTAAGGAATTCCTCCCATTATTCGGTGTATTGAATGTGTGCCTTAACACAATCCCGACACACTCGCCATGCCAGTCTGCTACACTAACAAATGGATGATGTTTTGACTTTAGTGGGGTGGAGAGCTCCACTCGTAATATATGGCAAGTCAAACCTTCATTTTTTTTTTTAAGAGAAGCATTGGGCACATCTCCGAAAGCATGGAAAGAGAGTGAGGCTCTTCAATTTGTGCAATTTGAGGTGAACCACATTTATTATTTTTAAAACCTTGTAATAACTGAAGTAGAGGTGACTTTACCAAGCAATGAGAAAGCGGTAAATTGGAATAAGAAAATTAGCTTAGTGAAGTAGGCATGCTCAGTTCACATCCGTCATGTTCAACTGACATTTTATGCATGCTGGTAGTAATGCAAACAGCCTTGAGAGACCAACATAAATGTCTGCTTTGTGAAGCATTTAGACAACTGCACTTTGTGCCTCCCACCTTTTTCAATCTGTCGCTCTATCTTTTGAGCCACCACAGTGGGTTGACTACAGGTGAAGTGAATCACCACAGCCGAGGCCAAGGGAAAAGAATAGCGAAGAAGGCACAGAAATTGGTTAGTTATTATCCTTAACAAAAAAGAAAAAAACGATTTGTCTGGCCTGTGAGTTGAATAGACTCCAAGGTAAACTAAATAATGTCCACTTCATAATTTCCGACACCTGATAGCTATGGAGTGTGGATAAATTCTTCTCTAGCTCATGCATGCATTTTGTTTGCAAGAAAGAGCTTGATTA